ACAACTCTGTGAGATGACTTACACATCTCTTTTAGATGTTTAGCTTTCAGAGCTAAGTGAATAACAGCCAAGTCATAAAAATGTTGGCATATAAGCTTTTTACTCCACAGATTTTATACTCAGTTATTTCAACCTTAGCAACTTTAAGATCTGTGGATTGCTGGCTGGGGAATTCTGGGAGTTGAAGTCCACACATTTTATAGTTGCTAAGGTTGAGAAATACTGTTGGATCATTTTCTTTTTCAGGGATAGTATTTATTTCTTTCGGCAAAACAAAATGTTACAAATTGCTTTCACATAAGTAGATCTGAATGTCAGAACTGCAGTTCTGCAATGAACTTATTTAAGGGAAAATGTTTCAATTTTGAAGAAATCTTTGAATAGAACACTAAATTTTGTCAAAGTATTTTAATGTCAATGAAATCTGAGTTTTTAACTCAGACTGTGATTATACAGTTGTTACCAGTGGTAAGCACATCTTGTTGAACCAGCTAGAAGAAAGATTAGGAAATAATACTCTGTAAGGTGTGACAAAAACAGTGGTTTTGGAGGACTGATATTTTTATATATACTTCAGTTTTAAGGATGTTATTAAAGCCCATAAAATTCAAATAAACAACAATTGAATCATGATCACCACAACAAAAGCACTTGTATTGTTATTTCTAACCACATTTGATTCCATTTAAAGATATATAAACATCAAATTAACATATATATTTAAGCCCTAAAAGTGATTTGGACTTCCTACTTAAGAGAAAGAGTCCTGTGGAGCAGGGGTTAGAATGTAGTATTGCAGGCAAACTCTGCCCACAGCCTGGAGTTTGATCCTGATAGGGCTCAAGGTTGATCCTTCCGAGATCGGTAAAATGAAGATCCAGATTGTTGGGGCCAATATGGAAATAATGCTTCGTCATTGTAAACCACCCAGAGCATTGTAAAGTCCTATGGCGTGTGTTATATAACTCTAAATGTTATTACTAGTGCTAATAGATTTTTTTTAAAAAAAGCAAGACAAATATTGAAGCTTTCTCTAACAAGCACATTTTACCTAATGTTAAAATGCCATTCTTAAACTATTGAAATACTTGTCACTGTCTCATGTGGAACTCGGAAACACGGAAACCTCCCAATGTCATGTGTCTGTTAAAAGCGGGATAAAAGCTTAATAGAAAATATTCTTCCACCAACAGCCTATTTAATAGCATTTCTTAAAAAAAAAAACCTTTACCCTAGTTTGTAAGGCTGCCTTTTTTATCTATTAACCAATAGATATGCTGACATTCGCCAATAGAAAAAAAACATCTGCCAGTCACAAATATCTTAATGAACCGGTATAACAAAGTGAATGCCCTTTTAAAAAAAAACAAAAATGCTTGATCACAATTTAGGGGGCCTGGCCTGCACTGAAAAGACTTGGCAACTTGATTCCAGGCCCAGAGAGAAAGAAAAAATGCAGTCATGGTTTTGGAATGCTTCCTTGTTCCTAAGTGATTAGCACAGCCTCCTCCTCCCCAGCCCTCCTCCTCCTCCTCCTCCCCCCCAGGATTGCCACTAGATGAAATTGACCTAAACAAGCACAAACAATTTCTTTACAGAAATGTCTCAGAAAGTCACTATCCCTAGCAGTGGATAGTGCTATGAATAGATTTTCAAGAATCCCTTTTCAAGGAATAGCTGGAAAGAGTAACTATCTTGCCACACGAAGTACTTCTGTCAGAGATCCACATTCTTCTTACTCCGAGGCAGCATATTTTTGCAACACCTCCCCAAAGATTTATCACATCCCCATTCTTGTCCAAAGCAGGAGAAACCAGAGATTAAAAGATGAAAAGAACAATTTCAACATGTTATTAGAAGTGGATATAAACTAAAGTCGTCTCTGAATATTTCCCACCCAGGTTGAGTTTACAAAGAAGGAGGAATAAGCATGCTACTCTGCCCTCATACTATTCTTACCTACTCTTATGGAACAAAATCCATGGAGGGATTTTCCAAAAATTTAAAGCCTAGGCCAGTGATGGCTAACCTTTTTGCCATCGCGTGCCAAAAGCGGGGGAAGCGCGGTGGGGTCACACACACGTGTGCCCACATCCATAATTCTATGCGCCCCCATGCTCCCCCCGTTTTTGGCACATGATGGCACAGTGGGCCCGTTTTTTGCACCAGAGCCTTTCTAGGAGCCTGGGGAGGGCAAAAACGGCCTTCCCCACCCCCCCAGAAGCCCTCTGGAGGCCAGAAACAGTGTGTTTCCTGACTTCTGGTGGGCCCAGAAGGCCCAAAAATCAGCTGGCTGGCGCACGCATGCGTGCCAGTGCTGAGCTCACGTGCCCACCGATATGGCTCCACATGCCACCTGTGGCACCCGTGCCATAGGTTCGCCATCACGGGCCTAGGCTTTCAAATCGTCATGGACAGAAGAGGATGTCCATTGTATAGTCATCCTCAGTGAGCAGAGGCCAATCACGTGCAGCTACCATGCATATCCTTCTTTCTGCTTCCTTAGAAATAGACCCTACCATTATCTGAATTGGTGAAATGGAGGATGGTCCTTAGAACATTGTTTAGTCGCTAAGTTGTGTTCAACTCTTCGCGATCCCATAGCATGCCAGCTTCTCTCCACTCCGTTCTCCACTATCTTCCAGAATTTGCTCAAACTCATGCACAGTGTCATTGACACTATGTCAATGACAACCATCTCATTCTCTGACAACCTCTTCTCCAACATCTTTCCAATGAGTCCTCTCTTCTCATTTGGTGACCAAAGTATTTGTACTTCAGCCTTGGAATATAACTGAAAGGCAATATATATAATTTTAAAAACAACTAGGCTTCAGCTGACTACAGGTACCAATTAGACAATGAAGGAAATGCCTTCAAGCATGTTGCTCACAGATACCTGTATCTCCTGCCTCTTTGGATAGGAATAGCTTTTCAGAGGTCAAGGAGAGACATCTCTTAGCAAAGCCTGAGGTATAATACCAAGCAGTAGTTCGTTCTAACTAAACTATTCTTTAAATAAATTGCAGTGGTAGGACATACATATGATAAAAAGTCCTAAACCATGATATACAAACAATGGCCTGGATAGCTCTGCAGACTAAAGCACTGTAATTTAACACCAGCTGTCTGCAATTAAAGTAAGTTCGAATCTCACCAGGCTCAAGGTTGACTCAGCCTTCCATCCTTTCTAAGGTAGGTAAATTGAGGACCCAGTTTGTGGGGGCAATAAGCTGACTTTGTATAAAATATACAAAAGTATGAACTGTAAGCCGCCCTGAGTCTCCGGAGAAGGGCGGCATATAAATCAAATTTTAAAAAAATGGCAAGATTATACAAGATATTCACCCAAAACCAAGTAAGCTTCATTACGGCTTAATCTGCAACAACTGTAGTCTGCCAACCATCACCTTTGAGAGAATCAAATTAAAGCCCTTAAGGTCCTGGGTGTGCTGGTGTGCCTGTGTGCCTTCAAGTCAGTGTTGACTCCTGGTGACACCCTGAACTTCTCTCACAGTATTCTTGGCAAGGTTTGGTTTGCCACTGCTTGCTTCCTTAGGATGAGACTGACTGGCCCAAGGTCACCCAGCTTGTGTCAAAGGTGGAACTAAAAATCACAGCCTCCCAGTTTTTAATCTGATGTCTTTACTACTACACCAGTCTTTAGCAGCTTGTTTCTCTCAGAAGTCACATATAAGAGGTGATACGAGTCAGTACTTTGTAACTTACCAGCTCCTCTCCCCAAAAAACAACAAACAGCCTACCAACCGGTTCAGTTCCCACCCCTCTCCCACATCCCATCTTGTTCCAAATTTCATCTGGAAGCCAGAAGGAAATGTAAGAAAGATATGAGTATTTTCTGAATTGAATTAAATATGTCAAACGTTCTCCCAACAGACTTGTACATTGTAGTGTAGTTTGTATAAAACATCTAAGGCTAAGAGGTATTAAAAAAATAGCAGTATTTTGGGAAAGATGCAATTAGATTCACTCCATCTTATCATCTTTAAATGCAAAAGGGTCCCACCACTTCCTTTTTTGGGGGGGGGTGCCTTCATGTCATGTTTTGACTCTTGGCAGCTGCCTGGAAAAGTTTCTTGGCAAGGTTTTTCAGAAGTGGTTTGCCATTGCCTTTTTCCTAGGATGGAGTGTGTGCGCGCAATTGGCTCAAGGTCACACAGCTGATTTCATGTCAAAGGTGGGATTAAGAATTCCAGTGTGTTAGTCTCTACTCCAAACTATACTTGTTACCCACCCAGAAAAAACACAACTTCTTTTTTATTGCTCCTGCCACCTCTTCATCCTGAATCAGGGAACTAACTAACAAACATCTCCCAACATTAGCTCTATACTGTACACAATTTTCTTTTACAACCTCCAATCTCACTTGATGCCTACACCCCAGAGCTATGCATTATACCTGAAATAACCAGACATTAGGAAACCCCGGCTCTATACATTGTTCCAAAAGCAGAAACGGATGAGTACAGAGTTCTTGCTCTTTGTCCAGTTACCACACGGTTAAATACTTGGTAGGGTGCGCCACCACTTTAAACGCAGTCCATCCTTAGTCACCCGGGCGGGGGTCTCTTTCTCTCTCTCTCTCTGCCAGGTCTTTAAGGCAGACTCTTCGATCTCCTCGCGTGGGCGAGAACGCAGCCCAGCAAAAGTTAACGCAATAATAGTGGTTCGATTCCGCGCGAATTTCGGCAAGTTTTGCTGCAATCCAGAGCAACTACATAAGAGGAGTTTGAAAGTCATCGGGAGGCTTCTGACACCGTCCCCTATTCCTGAGAAACCACCCCGTTTCTCAGGACAGCCACGATGGCCCTGCCCAATCTCTCGGGTGCGCCCAGGCAATCCTCGGCGCAAAGCCACCTCCTCCTCCTCCTCCATCTCCTTCCTAGCCAACAAGCCAAGTTACTCGAGGGGCGCTCCTAGCTGCTCCAGCCCTTAGCCGCATCTACCGGGCTCTACTCTTTCCCAGGGCGGGCCCCTACCTTACCACGAAGTCTGGCTCCGGCAGCTCCGGGTCCTCGCCTCTTCGGTTCGGGGAAGAGAAGCACAGAAGTAGCCTGACTTCTTGGGATTGTCAGAGCCGCTCCGGCCGCCTCCTGCCCCGCCTGGGAGGAGGAGCTAGGCTCGGGTCAGGCTCGGGGGCGAAAGGGGCGTGGGACGTGTCGCCGGACTCGGCTTGTGTCATGCTTCTCCAAGGCAGCGACGTATCCCAGGCGGGGAACTCCTTGGGCTGAGCATAGGCTGAGTGGCGTTTCCAGGCACCTCTGAATAATACCCGCACGCCGACAAAAGCCGCCTGGAAGCTTTCCCTCTTAAGTACTTACTTCCAACTTGTTCCCATTGGATAGGAGGGAGTGGCCGTGTCGCGGTTACCCGGGAAGTTTGATGAAGACAAAAGCGCCCCCGAACTTTTCTTACAAGTGTTTTTAATCTATCTATACAGGTAGTCCTCGATTTACAACCACAATTGAGCCCCAAATTACTGTGGTTAAGCGAGACATTTGTTTAGTGAGTTTTGCCCCATTTTACGACCTTTCTGGCCACAGCTGTTCAGTGAATCACTGCAGTTGATAAGTTAGTAACCTGGTTGTTAAGTGAATCTGGCTTTCCCGTTGACTTTGTTTGGCAGAAGGTCGCAAAAGGGATCACATGACCTCGGGAAACAGCAACGGTCATAAATGTGAACCAGTTGCCAAGCATCTGAATTTTGATCACATGATCATCAGGATGCTGTGGTCATAATTGAAAAATGATCATAAGTCACTTTTTTTAGTGCCGTTGAAATTTTGAATGGTCACTAAATGAACTGTTGTAAGTTGAGGATTACTTGTATATTATGAACATTCTGATTCCTGTAGTCCATGGGTGTCAAATTTACCATGTCATGTTGCTGTCATATGTTTTGCGACGTTTTCCCCCTTTGTGGAGCTGGGGTGGGCGTGGCCTGCCCGTGACGCATCCAGCCCATGGGCCGCCATTTTGACAGCCCTGCTATAGTCTAACTTTAAAAGGGTACAGCACAGGGCAAAACATCTTGAACAAGTTACCTCAAGTGAGCTAATTTAAAAGAACGTGTCCAAAATTTGGGAACCTTGATTCTCGTGCCACTGAAATTTGCAAATTTTGTAAAACATTTTATGACATAAATATTAAAGCAGTTTATGACATAAAATGCAGTGTCATAAAGCTTTCCTGTGATAATCTTTGACTGCTATACAGTTCAACATGGGATGTTTTCCAGGCAGATACCTCTCTGAAGGTATCAACTTTTTCAATGAAGGCATTACAAGCTCTGTCACTTTTGAAGGCACTGAGGAATCATGGAAGGAAATATCACTGAAACAATAACCCAATGGTGACAGGTGGCCTAGTAATAAGCTCTGCTTGACAAAGCTGTAGTCTATTAACCACATTTTCTGGAGTGGTATAATACACTGAACCACTAACTTCATTAATATAATACAACAGCAAATAAGTAGTTAGCTGGTTTGTGATTCATTAGCCTATATTAATCACTTTTCTTCCTTATTAATTTTTCCTCTACAGAAAAAGTACAGTACTAACTTGTACAGGCTGGAAGAATGTTATGCAGCAATTGTAAAATAGTTTTATAGTAATCCCTGGCTGTTGGAAGAAATGTCTATCTGAGTTCAGTTCCAAGTGGGAAGAAAGGCACTGGAAACATGGAGACTGCTTGGAAGGATGGTTTTAATGGTGAACACATTACAGGACCACATGGGTTTTAAGTCCTGTGTAGCTGATGACATGGAAGATATATATACTGCTCAAAAAAACAAAGGGAACACAAGCAGAAGACATCCGAGATCTGAATGAATGAAATATCCTTATTAAATACTTTGTTCATTACATACAGTAGTTTATACACTGCTCAAACAACTAAAGGGAACACAAAACTACTGTATGTAACGAACAAAGTATTTAATAAGGCTATTTCATTCATTCAGATCTCGGAGGTCTTCTGCTTGTGTTCCCTTTATTTTTTTGAGCAGTGTATATATATACTGTGTGTGTATGTATATATCCTGTCTTGGGCCCAGCCTTAGAGCTTCCTGTTCCTGTGCAATGGCAGGTATCCCATTGGTTGCTGTAGGGGCAAATTGCTGTAGTGCAAATCCTAAGAGTTTGTCTGAGATAAGTCTGGTTGAACTGTGGGCTGATGTAATGTCCCTAGGTGATTTCACAATGCAGTGAGCGCTGCTGTTAAATGGGTAGAGGGCTAATCCTATCATGTCCTGAGGGCCATGTCTTAATCCCATTACCCTGGAGCTGGGGGGGGGGCAAGGAGCAGCAGGCAGCTGCTTTGTCTTTAAAAACACATTTCTCCTTTTCTCATCCAGGGAAATACAATATTCTGCCTTTTTAATATTTCCTAGAATATTCCATTTTTCTAGGAGAGGGGTGGGTGCTAACTTTCTACATGGCTCTGAAGAGGGAGTAGCAGAATTTCATATAAACTGGAGAACTTTCTCATCAAAGCTGAAGTGCCAGAGAATTCACAGAATTAATCTTGGGAAGCCTGTACAGGCCAAAAGCAATGCAACCAAGTACCACTGCTGCCCTCTATTGGCCATTCCCAATTTCCAGAGTCCCCCCCCCCCCCAGCTATAAATAACAAGATTGATTTTGTGAACTAAGAGTATTCATCTTTTTAAATGGAATTTCTAGATAAAAAATTGAAATTTAGTAAAAGCAGAGGAGGAGATATAAATGTTTAAGATAGTGAGCATGAATTTCTTATAATCTTAATATTTAGTAACCGTAACTGCTAGTAGGCTGAGGCTTAAGATTAAGATATTTTACATCTTCGTATAATTGGGATTCACTGAAGTTGTGACTCACTTTCAAGGCACATAGTGAAAAGAGACACTTTTCAGGCAACTCACAACAAACCCATGATTGTTCATTCAAGGAGTAGTCACCCAACTCTCATTGTATTTGTTCAGTGCAGTCTTGTAAACATTGTGAAATATTTTGCTTTTTAAATCAGGTTTTCACTTACCTTTATTTTCATTGTAAAGTGGTCCTTACAGTATTCCTAATTCTGTCCTAATCATAATAATATAATAACTGGGGTTTTTTTAACGTGACATACAAACTATCATTATGTGTTCGAAAGAATAGTTAGGGAGGTTTAAATTGTTGAGGAGGAGGGCTACAACTTTTGAAGGTATATTCACCCAGTGTAATTTGAGACCCACACTGAACTAAAAACTAAAATCACATTTTATCTAGTATGTGGTATGAACATGGTCCATCTGGTCAGTTTATGTTCCAGACTGCTATGGCAGCCCACAAATCGGGTAAACAGAGTACTGATTAACGACAAATTACCAGATCATGTGAAACTGAGCCACTGAGTGCCAAATCTGAGCTGGAATTTAACTTTTTATTCACTTGCAGGTGATAAACGCTTCCCTTGCATTTGCTCGAATGCATGTAAATTCTCCTTTGCAATAAACTCAGTACTCTCTGGATCAGTGGTGAAATCCCAATTTTTTTACTATCAGTTCTGTGGGCGTGGCTTGGTGAGCATGGGCGTGGCTTGGTGGGCATGGCACGGGTAGGATACTGCAAAATCACAATTCCCTCTCCACTCCTGGGGGAAGGATATTGCAAAATCTCCATTCCCACCCCACTCTGGGACCAGCCAGAGGTGGTATTTGCCGGTTCTCCGAACTACTCAAAATTTCCGCTACCAGTTCTCCAGAACCCGTCAGAACCTGCTGGATTTCACTCCTGCTGTGGATACAGCCAGCAAGCACAGCTTTGACTTCCCAGTGTGAATTCTGACGTGGTCTTAGAATTAACACTTGAAGTCACTTATCAGTGTGGGTATATTTGGATGTAGCCTTCACTATGCCATAACTATGACTCAGTCAAAGTATTTAAGAGGAATCTAGATGATCTAATCTTCTGATTATGTCCCTGTGGTTCCCAAGAGGTGCATTCACTTTATTTCATCTTTCACAAGTGACATGATACACATCAATCACCATAAAGTCACAGCAGGTCAAAAGAAAAAGAGAAATCAATACTGAAGTGCTTTTGAGTAAGATTATTTCTTGACTAGTTTTTACTTTATGCCAATGAATACCCACAGTCTTTCAGTCTTATCTTTTAATCTATCATCAGACATTAAAACCTCACATTGTTAACAAATAAATCAAAGCTTTCAAGTTCAGTCTTTACATAATGGGGAAATGTCAATGTTTACTTAGAAGACCCAAATAACTCTGTGGACTTTATTCCCTAGCAAAAATGGAAGAAATTATGGCCTAAATGAAATATTTAGAACATAGAATATAAATAAGTGGAAATATTTTCTTTAATGCCTATAACTTATTTTTTTTAAGAAATAAGATAAAGGCTAAGGAAAAGAGAGGGAGAGAAAAAAACACTCATTTCTGGAGAGATAGCCATGTTGTTGTTGTTGTTGTTGTTGTTGTTATTATTATTATTATTATTATTTTGCAGTAAATGGAAAAAGGAATTTTCTAAAGGTGCACAAGTTTGTCATTGCATATACCTGTCATGAATTAGAGGTGATCTATGAACATTTTTAATAAATATGATAGTCTTCAATCCCCCCTTTGTTATGTCTTATCACTCAATTGCCCACAACTGTATAGTAAATTGCAGATTGTGAGTTGCTAGGTCCCTTGAACTGAAATAGTTACCAGGTTATAAACTGTAGCTACCATTGCCAGACAGTTTTAAATCAGTACAGAATATGTTTTATTCATTAAGCCAAGAACTCGGGGCTCTGGGCTGTAGAGGTAGAGCTTTCCTGCAGAAATTTTTGAATCTTTCATAAAAGGGCACAGTTGACTAAAAATAAAATCTCTTCTATAATGTTAACTTCTATAGATGTAGTTGCCCTTAAATACCTATTTGCAATCCCCTAACCTGCAGAAGATTTCTCTATATTGTTATTTAAGGCTCAGTTGTTGACTTAGATCACCAGATGTTCCACCACTTTGTGGAGGAAGCAATACAAGATAAGATTTTCTTCAACAATATTTTCTATAGTAGAAATCAGTTGTGCCATTCAGAGGAGGTACTCCTATAAAATTAGCAAATTTTGTTAAACGATGTACAGTATTTAATATGATGCAGAAAAATCCCCACATAAGTGATACTTTTAAAATGAGTGCTTACGTAGTATTCAGCCTGAAATCCAAATTTCTGAGGGGAAAACTTCATATCCTGCCTGGGAGAAATCCGAGAAATAACTAGCAAACCAGTCAACAATGCTTACTTGAGATTATTTTTTAGCAATTCACATATGATTAATTGCCAAATAAGACAGTATTTTCTAGACAAGTAGGCACAGTTGCCACTGTGAATCAGAATGAGGTGGCCCTTGGCATCTTGAGTTGTCCCTTTATAATCACGGGGAAAACAAAAAGGAAATATTTACAAATGATTCAGTACTGTAACGGATCAAGGATACTTCAGGACTAACAATCAGTATGAAAACCATTTCCATGCCAGTGGAACCCAGTCAGTTTTCTTTCTCTGGCATCACACCCCCGAGTCCACACAGCCCTGAGAATTAAGGATTTCCACAGCACTTCAAGACCTTATGGGAGTAATTCATGAAAGGATTTGATTTTGGCTATGTGTCATGTCTCTCGCTTGCTTGAAAAAGAAGAAAACTGGATGCAAATTGCAGTCTTTATGATTGGGTTTTCTAATCCATTTCCGAAGACTTGAGGAACAAACTATTTCAGCAGCAAGGGAATCTACAATCTTCAGTTAAGTTACATTTTTTAATAGTTTTGAATCAAGAACTCTCTATCCCGGAGGCTCAGGCTTCAGGAATAGTTTCCTGGACCACCCAGGGGGATAACAAAAACAGATATATCATCTCCAGAGCCCAGTTTGTCATTGGCCAGCCTCCAGCCACGGTCCTTCAGAACTCCTCTGGATCTCATTACCAATTCCTGGGCTGCCATGGTATATCTGGAAGAGAATAAAGCCCATAATTACTATTCACATGAAAATAGCAAGAAATCTAACATATTATTGTGAAGTAAGTATTCATAGGTGCACTGTAACTACCTCATTATTTTAATTACTTGATTGTGAAGAGGGAGGGGAAAAAAGAATGGCTTAAAGTTATCCTCTTGCAATTTTAATATATGCTGGTAAGTAGATTCAACCAGAAAGCTGTTAGAAGTAACCGAAATAGTCAGAAACTCTTCAGTAAAATGGATTGAACTATTTGGGCTTCATTCAGGGACACCCGAATCCAAATCTCTATAATATCATGAAACAAAATACCAGTACTTCATTCATTTCCGCAAAGGACATGGCAAGGTGACAATAGAAGGAACCCCAGGAATAGCATAGGCTTGGCAGAAATGTGAGCTATTGAAAGCAACCAGTGAATTGCCTCTGTAATGAATTGCCTCTGTATTTTTACAAAAAGAACCAAAGGCTTATAAGGAAATAAATAATTAAAAAAATAAATAGAAGTGTTTCCATTCTATATTCCTGTTCCATATTTGAAAAAGAACTACTCATTTATTAGTCTGTTTATATATGAAAAACTGGAAATAAATGTCCAGATGGAAATGTTGCCATCATGAATGGAAGACTGGGAGAAAAATCTGCCTATTTTTCATCTCAGAAATGCATTTCCAAACAGGTGCAATTATATCATGAGGTCCTAAGCAAGCATGTGACTAACCTTGAAAATAGAACTAAGTATAATTTTGAATACAAGTAATCCTCAATTTATTAATGTAATTAAGCCTGGAATTACAGTCATAAGTCATTGTAGACATTAAGCAGGTTGCCACATGACTGGACTCAATTTTACATTTTTTGAGTGGCAGTTTTAATTGAATGATGTGGTTGTTAAGTGAATCCATTTTATCTAATGATATCTTTTAACAGAAATTGGAAGTAAATGCTAGAAACCATCAAAAAAATATTGAAAATTGTGGTCATGTGAGCATGGAGTGTATGAATGAGTGTAAAAGTGAGCCAGTTGCCAAACACCCAAAATACAGCCACATGACTGCCGTGTGTGTGTGTGTGTGTGTGTGTGTGTGTACATGTGTGGCCACTGTAACTTTAAAATCAGGTTGTAAGTAGCTTTTGTGGGGTACATCATAACTTCAAACTGTTGCTAAGTGGCTGATCATAAATCAAGGACTACTTGTATAAAGGGAACATCTTCTCTCCTCTGTTGAATGTTGCAGACTTTAGAAGCCCTCTCTCCCTCCCAGCTTTCCGTTAGTGCTTCATTTATATACAAAATGTAATTTTGTCCAAGTTACATAAACTTAATTCAACATGGCAAGTAAGCAAAACAAAAAGTACAAACTAATACTGACAGTTAAGTGTTTCAGAAAGGGCCATTCTACCCAGTGAATAGTATCATCCCCAACGCTTGAAAGAAAAGAAATTCAGCTCTATTCACCTGCAAGGATCATTGGGTTCAAAGCCCATCAATACATCAATGACCACAGTGGCCACCTCTTGATCACTAGTGACATCCCAGAGGCCATCAGTGCCCAGCACCAGCACATCATCAGGGCAGTGCTCATACTGTGTGAGATCATAAATGTGCACCTGCGGATAAAACACAAAGATACAATTTTGTTGCTATGAATTTGCATTGCAAAAAAAAAAAGATATCTAAGGGATCACTCTCATTACAACTCTGCTGATTAAAAATGGCAGGAATTCCCAGAGGTTTGAATTTGCCAAAAACATGAATGGGCAGAAAGCTCTTGTAAATATTGGAGAGAATGGAACAGATTTGTCCAGCCTTATTGGCTAATTAATAAAAATGGGAAAAAAGACATTTTAAATATATCTTTGTTTGAAGATTCTTAATAGAACACATTGATTCTTGTAAATTTCTCCAAAAGGAAATGTCCAGGGCTTTCCAGAGGTCATGTATATCCTATAAAAGTATTTACAGTGGTACCTCAGTACTCACTGTTAATTGATTCCAGGAGGTGCGATGAACACCAAATATGATGACAAATTTTTCCATAAGGAATAGTGTAAATACATTTAATGTGTTTCCAAACCAAAGAAAATGTGTATTTTTAAGGCAATATGTAAAAAGATAGGGTTGTATATTATTACTGTACATGAGAAATAAATCTAAAAATTAATAAATACTTAAATTAAATTAAATAAAAATTTCACTTTACCTGTACTGATGAGAAAAACAGTGCAAAAATATACAAAATGACCACAGAAGCTAAGATTGTAAGGGGATGTGTTCAGGAGAAGAGGTACCATATGACACACATGTGACCCTTTATTTTGGCTGGAAAGGGTTGTGAGTCATAAGGCAACTGACACCAACAAATTCTAGCTTGCATGTCAAGTACCAAACAAACGAGTAACAGGACAAAATTTTCTCATTAAAATGCATCGGATACCAAATTCAATGAGTTTCAAAGCAGTTGAGTACCGAGGTACCACTATATTTATTTTCAACATTTCTATACTGCTTTCCATTAAAAGAAATCCTGAATTTACAACTAAGAAATGTACCTTGTAACAAAAAGAAAACACAAATATTCCAATATACCACCCTTAAAACAAATAAAGGGACAGCTTATCATTAAGGCCGGGGGAGGGGGCAACCTTTTTAAATCTGTCCATCACACCGTAGTCTACAGAGAGCATGTCATGGTATCACCAGACTTAGTGACAACCAAAGTTTTCAATCAGATTATCTATTTATGGAGCATTTAAATTTCTTCCTCATTAAGGCTTCAAATTTTTTATCCCTCAGTATTTGAGAAGGGGCTGAAATATGCAAATGTGGAAAGTGATATTTGTGTGAAGAGTTGCATTAGTGGAGTTCCATAGTTTTCAAATCATGCCCACCTCCAACTACACACACACACACACGGAGTATTTTTTGCACTATAAGACACACTTTTCCTGTCACCACCGCCGCCTGTCACTGCTGCCGCAGTTCGCTGCTGTTGGGGAACGCTGGAGGCTTCACTGCTGAGCAGCTGATTGGCAGTTGGATCGGCCTCCCGGAATACCACTGATCAGCTGTTCTAGGTGGTGCGGATCGCCACCGATCACCACTGCCAATAGGTGGCTAATAGCGATGGTCCATACCACCTAGAACAGTTGATTGGCAGTATTCCAGGAGGCCGATCCAACCGCCAATCAGCTGCTCGGCAGCGAAGGCTCCAGCGTTCCCCAGCGGTGGCAGCAGCTCAGCTCAGTTGACCAGTGGTGGGCGCAATGGAGCGGAGCCCTGATGAGCCATGTGCTGGGGCTGTGATTTGTGCTGAAGCTGACCAGGCTGTTTGCTGCAAGGACGCTAGCCAGATTAATACCGGATAGATGCTATGAGACAGAGGTAGATTTTTTTTTTTTTGTTTTCATCCTCTAAAGCTAATGTGCGATATATGGTCTGGTGCGTCTTATAGTGCAAAAAATACGGTAGATAGATACATGCAATGTAAATACAGATACTTTGCAACTTACAACCACAATTGAGCCCATGATTTCTGTTGCTAAGCAAAACATTTGTTAAGTAAGTTTTGCTCCATTTCACAATCTTTCTTGCCACAGTTGTTAAGTGATCACTGCAGTTGTTAAGTTCGTAACATGGTTGTTAAGTGAATCTGGCTTCCCCATTGACTTGGCTTGTCAGAAAGTCATAAAAAGATGAACACATTGCCTCAGGACACTGCACCTGTCATAAATATGAGTAAATTGCGAAGCATCTGAATTTTGAACATGTAACCATGAAAATCCTACAGTGGTCATAAGTCTGAAAAATGGTCATAAGTTCTTTTTTTCAGTGCCATTGTAACTTCAAACTGTCACTAAATGAACAGTTTTACATTGAGGACTACCTGTATATCTCAAGGACCAGAACATTAGTTTTGTTGTGCTCACCTCTGGAATGCAAGATAAGAAAGGCTTAATGTGGATGTTGGAGTTGTAAACTTTGAGATCATGGTCTCCTAAACCTCGAGTTACCCCAATGGTTGCCATCATTCGAGCCTAATTAGAAGAACAAGTAGCCGATAGACACTTGATGCAATACGAAGACATTTATTCAATTCCATATTGTTAGAAACAAGTTTTGTTAGTGCAAAACATTGGAAGACTAGATATCTTTCACTGAATTAGTAGTACTTAAAAGTCTGAAAAGTTGCTCTATCTAAAAAAATCAAAGCATCAAAAAGCATTAAGAAACTCAATAGGAAAAGAAATATTTTCAAATTCTTGTCACCATATATTTACTTTATTAAGAATGTTTTTCTTAAGCAACTACTTTCAGCTGTATAAAAGTCATTTCGAAAAGCAATATTAGAAATGAATATTTAATGTTTCATATTAACTACTTAAAGACAAAACTGTATATGTATTCACATGCATACTTTTATTTTTCTTCATATTTTTATTTTTTTAAGTTGCTCATTTTCCTTTGTTTTCTTTCTTTAATAAAAAAGTGCGAACAATCCAAATGCTAGATGCATTTACCTGTGTTTTCCTGAAAATAAGATCGGGTCTTATATTAATTTTTGTTCCAAAAGACACATTAGGGGTTATTTTCCAGTTAGGTCTTATTTTCGGGGGAATATGGTACTAAATGTGTCCATCTGGCTGACAATCTTAACTGGGGCTTATTTTTGCCGTAGGGTTTATATTACAAGCATCCTGAAAAATCATGCTAGGGCTTATTTTCAAGTTAGTTCTTATTTTCAGGAAAACAGGGTATTTAGTATCAAAACATTAAGCCCATTAAAAAAAAAACCTGTTGACTCTAAAACTGTATCATAAAACTGGCATTAATTTACGTGATAAAAATTTGCATAACCTGGCTCCAATTCTATTATCCCTCAACCAAACCTCCCTCCGACTCATGCTTGTTTAATCTTAATGTTGTCTCTATTCACTGAAAATAAATAGCTCTCCATTGTACAAACTCCCATATTGGTTTTAGCTCTTACTTTTTTACCCTCTCCATATATAAGTGGAAACTTCAGGTCATCTTCTTCTATCCTTTTATATGCCCTAGTTAGAAAAGGAAACATATACCAAATAAGGCCATGCCGAAGGTTACCATCACCTTAGATATGTTAAGATTTATTAAACTACCAATTGCTGAAGGAGAAAATGTCCTGGTGAATCTCTTCTACTCATAGCTAGAAAAAAAGTTGAGATCAGCAGTATTTCATTTATGCAATTTCTCTAATATGTGCCCATGTAAACACATACTGGTAGTCCTTGCTTAACAACTGTTCAAAGTTATGACGGTCTTCCCAGAGCTACACTTACAATCAAAGTTCTAGCAGTCACACATAATGCCCCCCCATGGTCACAATTTTATTTTGGGCACATGAAAACCTTTTGCAGAGTGCATGGCCACATGACCATGATTTTTTGGTGGCTTTTGCTAGTTACTGGCATTTACTTACAGCAAAAACTGCCTGTTGGGTATTATGGATTTGTTTAAAGACTGCAACATTCACTTAATGACAGCAGCACTCAATTAACAGCTGCTGCAAAAAATGCTGTAAATCAGGCATGATCACATGGTGACCTGCTTAATGACTGTCATGATTTATGAGTCATAATTCCAGGCTCAATTATGGTTGTAAATCAAGGACTGCAAGGGGGGTGGGTTGGAACATCTGAATGGCTAAGGATGATGGAAACAAATTATCTTATTTTTGTGACTGACATTGAGAATCTGCATGTTTTATTTCAAATGAAAAGAGAATTACCAGCCGTTCATATTTTGGTCCCTATATAACATCTTCTTTCCCACTTCCTTCTGTTGGATTCTTCGGGGAAACTCAAAGAAAGTAAACTCATTTCCCAGTAATTCAGGCCTCAAATAACCCTATGAGAGAAAAGAAAAAACTCAGTCGAGAGAATATTTGGATCTTTTCCATCAAAATTACAGAAATCCAAGCTGGCTCCATATTCCACAGAGTCCTCATAAAAGCAGCACTCAATAATAGAATCCCAGAAGGGAACAAGCATATCGTAAAAGCTGGGACCAATTCAACTGTCTTATACTGAGATGTTAAAATTTACTTAAGGTCCCAATCTTTTTTCTCTTTGTACTGAACTACTACATAATGTCCATGTCTAGATGAAAATGGAAGATCAAAGCATTCATTCTTCAGCTAAATACAAGCTAAAGCATTGAAGCTGTCTCATGCTCAAATGGGACATCAGGCCACATCCAGACTAAAGTAGAAACAGAAGCTGAAACTGATAAGACTCATTTTATAAGAAACAGTGGGGTACACAAATATTTGGCATAGAAAGCAACAAGATTTCAGTTCTGTAGTCCAGATTCTGTTCTCTGCTCAGACAACTGTCATTTTAATACAAATTCCAATTATGGGAATGTCTCTATCATGGGCATCTGTACATGGGCATCTTCCTACCTACTGGCTACCTATATGAAGGAGACTCCTGCATTTCAGATAGGTTTGAAGTTGTTCTTGCTCTAGATATCTCCTAGGTTGGTCTTACTCTTCAGAGCTGGTTCCATCCTTTCCTGTCAATATCACCAAAAAGGCAATTATTTACCAGGCTAGCAATGGAAAACCTAAAAGAAGTAATTAAATCCAATAGTCAGGCAAGACTGGAACCCAGAGCCAAAAAAAGAGAAAGATTAAGAAACATTGGCTCAATCGGATCCTAAACACACAACCTTTAAGGAGGCAAATTTTACCCCACCTCTCCTGATGAGTCTGGCCAAAAAAACGCAAAGCGAGAGCTACGCCATATTAAAAGAATGTTTTCTATAGACTCTAAGAAGAGTAGCAATTGAGGAGTGAGTCATGGGGAAAAGAAATGCAGGGCAGAACCTGTGTGGTTTTTGTTTTCTGCTACAAAAAACACCCTTACTGAAAATTACAACAGGCTTTGCTTTTTCAAGAACTTGGATGGCATTGATAAGGCAATATAGACTGTCAGCCTGGCACAACAAAACGATTTAAGCTATAAAAGGATTTTGGCAGTAAGTGGACTGCTTCAGCCTGGGGCACAATGCAAGATGGGCTCCCTGCTGCTCAGTATCTTTGCACAGTCAGCTGAAGGGGATCTCTTACTCAAAACTATTTTCTCTTTTCCAAGGCTCTTGGAAGCCATTTGAATAGAACAGCAGATAAGAGTCAGTCTGGTGTTTTGCCAAGGAGATAGAATTGAAGGCTCAAAACATGAGCCAGCAACACCTTAAGGCTGTTCACGCTTCATAGATTTTTGTCTGACTGTAAATTATCTTTCATCCCAGGAAGTACATGTATAATGTTCTGCATGAATGAATCCATCTCACTGAACTACAAGGCCATTCCTGTTATATTCAGACAAGCTTTATAAAAAACCTAAAAACTGCTCCTTAGAGAGAAAAGGAAATGTGTGTGTATAACTAAGACAGGGCTGCTTCTCTTACAATTAATACCTCTGCCCTCTATCACTTCTCACTTTCAGACTAGCCCCAAGCTGTTTTTCTCTTGAAAATATAGTCACAAGATTTTAAAATGCAATGCATCATCATTCCATTTTTCACTGCTATTAAAAGTGAGAACAGGTTTGCAGTAGACAAGGTAGAGGGAACAGATATTTGAGGAACCCTAGATTGTTCTTGAATCTTGAAATCTGGGGCTTTCCTTTTCTACATCGTTAAATGTATTTATGAATTATATGTAGACAAGCGAAGTATGTCATTATTTTTACTGAACAGAGTTTAAAGCAATTTGGAGATCACTATCCCTACAAAGGCAAGAACTCACTCCACCAGGCTCTCTGGCCAAAGGGGAAATTTGGAATTATATGATTTCCAAATTTAAGTCCCTTTGACTGCCTGGACAAGTCAGGCAACATTTTGGAAGTGGTTTACAACTGCCTCCTTCCTAGGGCTGAGAGAGTGGCCCAAAGTCATACAACAGGCTGCTTGTTTGACACCCCTGTAATACATTATACATTACAACCCTTATATGTTATAAGGTTGTAACAGCATGCATAGCTGTGGTCTTTAAACATCTGCTCAATAAGGAAATAAATACTAGACACAAATTTATAGTACAGAGTCTTTCTTTACTATTTACAATAAATCCACCATCATATTCCAAATGGAAACTGAAAATTCCCTAAGCTTCAAAGATGATCAGCCATGCTAGATAATGTTGCATAAAACATAAATGTATTAACAAAAGAAAAGAGTTTTGCATTTATTGGTTTTTCAATGTAAGTTTGCCTTGCAAACCTTATTTCAGTTAACCACTATGAACTCTGATGATCCTGTTTGTACAGAATTGGTTTCTCAAGGATATACCTGGCAAGGTTGTTGTTGTCGGTGTGATAGATTAAATATATATCAGATAGAAAGAAAGTTCTTCCTTACTAAAAACTGTAGCCTTTGCCTCTCTGTCTCTGGAGTAAACTCCCTGGACATTGGAATGATTTCCCCATTACGGATGACAATGGCCCTGCAATGAAACATGCAATGATGACATTAGAGAGAAAGAGAGAGAGATGGCAGAGGAAGTGCAAGCAGCAGATACACAAGAGGGCAAAGAGAGGCAGGGTTAGGTAAGCACCATCATTGCCATACAGAGAGAGAACCTCTGGGAAGGATATGGAATCTGGGCAAATAATGGCCAGGGATCTACATTTCCAGATGCGCTAAGTTTTCCTTGTCTGTTTTTTGTTGATGGAAGAGGGATAATGTTATGTTATACCTGAAAGCCCAGAAATCTATTGATGAAAGTTTCCTTCCTTCCCCTTTTCTGGATGAAATTGTTTGCTAGGGCTTCACTCTATTTTATTTCTAGATTTTAAAAGTTTCCCTGCCATATCCTAAAGACCCAAAATAATTAAAATATTTATTATTGTATGCCCCAAATTACTCTACTGTATAAGCAAGTTGAAAGATTTGCTGAAGTCCTTTCAATGAGGCTCATGAATAAGTGGAGATATATAGATATCATTCCAGTAGTTGTGCACTTGTGCAAGGAAAAGGGGAAGTGGGTGGATTGGACCTTCAGACATAGTTATTAAAGACTATTCTCCCCACGTAGCATGAAGATATATCTAATAACATAGACTCTGGCTCATATTGGTATAATACGATAGCTTAGAAACTAAAAAGGTCAAAGAAATGCTAGGTAGCCTTTTCCCTTAACATTCCTATTGGGTTAATGCCAAATCCTAGGTGTGACTCAAGAACATCCAGAGAAAGAACACTGACACAGCATAATGAAAAGGAGCAGCCATAAAGACATATTTAGATGTCCTTATATTCTACAGTAGCAGTTAAGCCAAATTACTAAGCAATGTTAGTTACCTGCTCTGAGAGAAAAGGTGTTCCTTGTTCAGACAGATAAGGAAGCAAAGGAGAAAAATCAGTCTAAGAAACTAGGGTTCAAAAATGGTGCTGAAAGGATGGAGGGGGATCGTGAGAAGAAAAGTACGGCCAGAATAATGGGTCACCTGATCCAAACCCAAGTGCTTGGATATTCTGATCATAATATAATGTAAAATATGGATTATTCATACACACACACACAAGCACACGCACACACACACACAGGGGATTTATTTTCATCTTTTGGCAACATTACATATGGAATGTGGCACCTAAAACGATTGCTAAATCCTGTGCTCAGCTAAAATCATTCTTTACAAACTGCAATTATCTTTCAAGACATAATGACTAAGCAAAAACAAGTAAACCCATAATTATGGCTTTACACAATACCTGTTACAGAATTTTACTGTGATTCTTGGGCTGGAAGTCTTCATCTTAAACTACCAAATATTTCCATATTTGATTATGACCTTTAAGAGCCCAATTTTATTCAAAAATTAAAACAAGATCTACTTGGTTATTCTGACTTGATAAAAAAGTTGATCTCACTGAAATCTTGAAAAAATAACTTGTCAAAAGTATGTGTATTGCTTCCTATTAATACAAGCTCTCCTCATTTCAAAGACCACAATGAGAAATAATACCAGTGTATTTTTCTCTATCTTGTTATCCACTACACCAAATGATACTTTACTTGTAACACCCATCATCCTCAGATAGTAATGCATACAATACACCTGGAGGTTATCATTTTGGCACACAGAAGAAGGTATTGTTATTTCCAATTCAGAATCCCAAAAGCAGACTAGCCAAGAATTTGGATGTAGAATAGAAGACTCAATGAGGAAACAGAGCATCTATTAATTAATTCCAAAAGTATTCCAGAATCCTTAATCTAATTAGCATTAATGCTTCATTTTAATAATCCAATAAAATTTATTTTACTGACAAGTTCTAAACATTTTAAATCAGTAAAAGTTATTTAACTTAAATTATTTGATGAGTACCTAAACATGGTGATACCCTAGATTTAGGATTGAATCACTAAAAACAATTAAAACAACAGGCACTGAATCAAGGCAGTATCTACAATAAAGACTAAAATAACTTTAATTATTACTCTTTAATCACCCATACTTTTAAAGGGGTCTCAACAATAAAAAGAGAAATGGTATGACTCCCCTATCTCAGGTTATTAGAAAGGAACTAAGCATAAGTTTTAATATAATTTGGAACTCCAAATGAATAATCACCATTCAAAACTGAATTTCCCTCTTGCAGCATTTAAATTCTACCTCAGGATATGTTGCAAGAGCATATTTATATTTATCAATATTTATTTTTTCCACCTTAATATTCAGATCACAAAATATAAGTTAAAATTAATTGCTCTCTAATTCACTTGGGATCCACAACTGTGTCATACTCAGATCTTAAGCGAGCTCCATCACTGATACCGACACACTATCTTTTGAACATGTCAGTTGACTCTTTGGTTGACAATAAGTACAGTCCTTGATTATGAGAAACTCTAACTTTTTTTTTCTATTGACAATGACTGCCTCTACCCAGCACAAGTTTTATTAATTTATTATATCCATAGTTCACTTTTTTGATACAATATTCAAGGCAGCTATTGGATTCCTAATGGTTTTTTATCCACATATTGATCAGACTTAGTTCTGTTTAGTTTTATAGCATTATAGCAACATCACATAGTGTCAGACTATTTCCTGAAAGCAAAATTTGAACTTCTGATCCTAGACAGCATCACTAGGAACACAGCATCATACATCTGTCTATATCTTCTTGGATTAGTCCCTGCCTCCTTCCTAAGGCTGAGAGGAAGGGACTGGCCCAAAGTCACCAAGCTGGCTTCACGTCTAAGGCAAGATGAGAACTCAGTTTCTTGGTTTCTAGCCTGATGTCTTAACCACTATGCCAAACTGGCTCTCATTATACCTGTCATTAATCCTTAACTCTCTTAAGGACTGGTGTGGATGGTGAATGAACAGAAGAAAGACAAATATTTCAACTGTTGTTAATTTTTTTTACAAATTATAAAAATAATTGACCTTGAGCAGAAGGACTCTGATTAAATTCTACCAGGCAGTAAAGAAATGTCATTTTTTCCCCAACAAATACATGTTTTGGACAGTTCTAATTTCGCAGGGAACCAAAACATTCTCCAGCCCACTTACCTACTATCACCAGCGTTGGCCACATAAAACTTCCCCAGAAGATAAACCACAGTCAAGGCACAGCAGCCTCCTGTTGCCTGCCTGGTTACCCGTTCTTGCTCAATTTGATTGTCCTGAAAAGACAGAAAAACAAAAGTACAGGTGAAACATGATCTGTCATATCAGAAATAAAGGCAGAACCGTACTAAATGTGATCACAGATCTTCCTCACCTTCCTGTATTAATAAAGTAGAAATGTCCTAAAGAAATAGATATCTAAACAACAGTTGCAGAAACAAGATAGTCATTTAGACATTACCTTCAAATTGTAGAATTACAACTTTATGCATTGACAAATTCTTGTTTCATACATCAGAAGTCTATCTTAAATAGAGAAATGACATTGAAACAAAGACTATATTTGCATTATGGTATACCAGGATTTGATTTATGTTAAATCATTTACCCCAAATAAGGTCACTCTTTGCTAGAGCAGAGGTAAAATTGAACTGTAAACCAGGACATACAAAACTTTTGCTAGACCAATTCTTGAATACAGCTCATTTATCTGGAACCCACACTGCATATCGGACATTAATACAATCAAACGAGTCCAGAGATATTTCACAAGAAGAGTCCTCCACTCCTCTGCTTGCAACAGAGTAACTTATGCCACCAGACTTCAAATTTTGGGATTAGACAATTTAGAACTTCACCGTCTTCAGTCAGACCTAAGTGTAGCACATAAAATTATCTGCTACAATGTCCTATCTGTCAATGACTACTTCAGCTTCAACCACAACAATACGCGAGCACACAATAGATACATACTTGTGGTAAACTGCGCTAAACTTGATTGCAGAAAATACGACTTCAGTAACAGCTATTAATGCCTGGAATGCACTACCTGACTCTGTGGTTTCTTCCCCAAACCTCCAAAACTTTAACTTTAGATTGTCTACTGTTGACCTCACCCCATTCCTAAGAGGTCTGTAAGGGGCATGCATAAACACTCCAGCTTGCCTACCGTCCCTGTCCTAATGTTCCTTTTTATACGTATCCATTTCATGTATTCATAATTATCTTTATGCTTATATCTGTTGCCTATTACATGCTTGACGAAATAAATAAATAAAAAATAAAAAAGGTCCTTAATTACACTCAGTAGCCCTGCTTTGTGCTTATTAAACAGTTTCAATTATGGCATTATATTATTTCCAAAATTGGGCAAATGGGTAGTATAGTGAGCAATTAAGTAGCCATTAATCCTCCAGGAAATAAAATGATATGCAAAAACAGTTATAAATAAGAACTGTTCATTCAGCAACATTTCCAATATTCCTTTCCCACCACCCCCATCCATACAGAGGTACAATGACTTTTTTTTTAAAAAAAGGGAATACCCCATATTATGGGTGGCTATGTTTTGCCATCATTTGTAATGTATTTTTCAGGTTCGTGCCTTTAGAATGGTGGTTAATCTGTGACTATCCCTGTCTGTTTGTCAAAGGTCTAAGTTAATTGCTAACTTAATCTTTTGTCTGTTAGGATTTACCAGTTAACCTGGTCTGTGATACATGAAAGAAGGGAGACCATACTAATCAAAAGAAAGCTACTTAGCAAGCACAGTTCAAGTATCTGAGGAAACAAACAAAGAAAAAAACCCTACCCTGGTAAATATCTCTATATAATTTTATGATGAGATGGGGAATCACCAACAACATTTTCAGTACCTGTACTAAATTATAGTTTACATGATTCTTCGGGGAAGCCATGACAACTAAATGGGTACAGTATATGAATGCTATATGTTGACAATGTGTCTTTATCTGTGTGTTTTATTCCCCTGAGCAGCATCAAAGACAAGATCTCAAGCTGAGCTACAGAAAAACAGAACAGGCTCTGCTCAGGATCTGTAACTAGGTAAGCAAATACCTATTCAGCCAAAAATAGTCATGGGTCACCATGTCAGCATCTTAACTGCAAAAGGAAGTGAATGCATATTCTGGGTGGAAGACAGCCAGGCAGGATTGGAACGCATCCCTGATCTCCAACTTACATGCCATGTCAGTGGCTATGGGGGCTATGTGTGTGTTAATATAAAACTGTTAATAGTTTAATTGAGTTTATTTGATTCCGAGGATTAGATCTAGAGTATCCTTCACCTGTTTAAATCTATGAGATAGACTGCATCATAAATAACATACCCAAGGCCTGCTTGCAAGGTCAAGCAGATTTTGTTTGTTTGTTTACCCTGGCTCTCTTATCCCTGAATGCAACATATCCATTTCACTCCACTTCTGATATAGAATCAGGCATCAATTACAAGGAAGTGCTACCTCAGACTAAGATTACCACATGCCTAGTAGCAGTTTACATGTATTCGAAAGTCTGTGCCAAGACAGGAAATTGTTTGTAATTCTGTACCAGGATCCAATCTGGGTTTGAACGACCAGAGGTTTAGTCTTCCGAGCTTTTGGACTCATGATGGAGCCCATGGTAATTCTGTACTACTGTACTAGAAATGGTGTAGGGTCTCCTGCTTGGGTGGGGGGGTGGACTAGCTGACCTACAAGGTCCCTTCCACCTCTGTTATTCTGTTCTATTCTCAGCCCATTTTGGTTCTGTTTACTTACCATTTGCTTGAATGCATTTTCAATGGCTCCCACTACTAAACTTTCATGGGAAACCACCTTTTCCATGTGGAAGCGTGGCAAGGCATTGTTTGGGACCTCTGCGTCTTCTGCCAGAGGAGCTTTGTTTGGTTCTGTGAGAACTGTCCTGGGTCCCTTATGCAGGCAAATTGGAGGAGGAGAGGAATCTTGTAAGATATCCACCAAGTCTCGGAGTTGGTCACGAATATGAAAATGAAGCAGTTTGGATGCCATAATTGCAGCTCCACTTCCAGCATGTCCGTCAAACAAGCCCCAGTAGTAAAAGTACAGACCTTTGCTGCCCTGCAGAGAGGTTGGAAAGAATTATCCTGAAGTAATGCCAAAAGAAAGGAAACTCAAGTTTAAAAAAGTAAAACTGATGAAGCAGCACTATGGTGAAATTCTGCAAGCTTTGCAGTTTGTGACTGAAGCAACATTCAGCACCTTCTCAGCCAGCGATCAATTTAACCAAACTGCCACCAGTTCAAGGATGTCCTAATTCCTGGTCTTTATTTTACTGCAAAGAGAGAAGAAAGGGCAGAAAAGGTGATGAAGTAGCAAGGTGATGAAATTTTTGCTCCTGAGCAATGCAGTAGGTATCTTATTCACCCTGTGTCTACAGAGACCACAGGCATGTCTGCTTTAAAGGGCTTTTAAAAAGCTGGTATTTTAAATGCCAGCTGTAATAATTCCTGTGACTATGGTGAATGGGAAAGTTTGTGGAATCCACTGCTTCACAACTCCCCTTTATCAAGTAAACAATTATTGCCAGTTCAGGTGAGACCTGTGAAGCAACAACTATTTTGTGTGACCATTACTATTAACCAGCAATTGGGAATCAAACAGTCCAATTCCTAAGACAGAATAAGTTCACATAACGTGGTAAAGGATAGTTTAACTATGGTTGAAACTATTAGCTGGGTAAAATCTTTATGAAGCCATAATGATTTGGCTTGTTTAACCCTGATTTATTGGATAATCCATAATAAACTACATTCTGCAGGATCCAATCTGGGTCGGTGAACTACATTCTAACTGCAAAGCCAAAAACTATCAGTTATAAATCACAACAATTGGGTTCATGCTACACAGTAAACCAAAATTAAATAAACTACATTACGGGTTGAGACCCAGCTGCGGAAGAAGCTCTGGTCATCCAGTTGCTCACCACTCACTTCTGACTCTCCAGAGATTCCCTTGGGGCCTGGGTTATTTCTTAGGCTGTCTCTTTTTTCCACAAAGACGGCTTCACAACAAGCTTGATCCTCATTATGCTGGCTCTTGCCAGCATTTATCACTCTGTTCAGGAAAGAGAGAAACAGACCATCATAGTGTGGATTTAAGGATATGAGTTTGATTTGATTGGCCAACTTCCCTCTATCTCAGATTCATCCTGCACAAAGAGTGACCACAAATGGGGACAAATGATTCCATTGCTGCTGTTTTTAGAAAACAGAAGCAATCTGAGAAAGGACCTGGCATAGCTGTAATGTCTGTTTGGTTTTTTTCAACCTAAAAACCGGCCCTGTTGAGCTACCAGAAGAATAGAATAGAATTTTATTGGCGAAGTGTGACTGGACACACAAGGAATTTGTCTTGGTGCATATGCTCTCAGTATACATAAAAGAAAAGATACATTCATCAAGAATCATAAGGTACAACACTTAATGATAGCCATAGGGTACAAATAAGCAATCAAATCATATTAGGAAACAGTCAATATAAATCGTAAGGATACCAGCAACAAGGTTACAGTCATAAGTGGGAGGAGATGGGTGATAGGAACGGGTTCATTTCACCTCTAGTCAATGAATGGTTTCTGGTACCTGATTGACCAACATAGGACCATCAGAAATGATGCTCTAAAACTATTTCATCAAGCTTATTAACCTCACACTGCCTTCTTTGTTATCTAAGCAGGACTCCTGGTTTCAAGCTTTGTTCAAGCCCTTAGAGGCAACCATTATTTCTGATGAAAGAACTTGATAGAGGACCTCAGAGCCAGCAAATCTCCTAGCATAAAACTGCCAGACAAAATGAATTGAAACTTTCCGCCTGCATTAGTTTCTTTTATCTTTGTTTTTCTTCAGCTTTGCAACTTCACATCATTGCAAAACACAGCTTGGCAGCAGGAAGTTGTAGAAACATAAAACAGGAAACATTGTCCGGGTAGGAATTTGCAACAGTACAGTTTGCAAGGCACAAATAGTATATGGTATTGCAGAGGCAGTTGGTATAGAACTCAGGAGAGTTTCCAAACAAGCACTTCCTCACTCCTCCCTACCCCCACGGGATGATAGGAAAACCTTCAATATGCTTCCAAAGAATTTTTTAAAAGCATTAAGAAACTAAGAAGGTAAAATGTAACTATTACAAGTTACAGTCAGTTGCAGGGGGCATCAGCTACAATTGTACAAAGCCCCATTCCTTTTATATCTGTCAGGCATATTAAAAGGAGGTGAGACTTTGCATGGTAAGAATCATTACCTTGATTTTTTTTTTTGAGCCCTCCCCACATCCCTACTCTACATATACATTTAGACAAATGCATATGTCACGCACACATTCCTTTTCATGTATTTCAAACCAATTGAATGCGTATAAAGAGCATTTAGGCCTAGCTTAGCTTCAGCAGGCATGCTACATCATGGACATACCAACATCTGATTTCAGTGTTTGCTTCAAGCCCATCTATTTATGTCAAATAGGCAACTAAATGACAGGGGTGTCCATTTTTCATACCAGTTACTGCAACTGTATCAAAACTCCATGGCAGCTTTGATCTGCAGTAATTAAAAGGCAAAAGTAACCCTCTTCAGGTTGTCTTTCTCTCTTTCACATACATATATGTAAAGTAAACAGCACGGGAGACAATTTTATACTGTATAGTCAAGGCAATGGTTTTTCCAGTTGCAATGTATGGCTGTGAAAGTTGGACCATAAGAAAGGCTGAGTGCCAAAGAATTGAGGCCTTTGAACTATGGTGCTGGAGAAGACTCCTGCGAGTCCCTTGGACTGCAAGGCGATCAAACCAGTCAGTCCTAGAGGAGATCAACCCTGACTGCTCTTTAGAAGGCCAGATCCTGAAGATGAAACTCAAATACTTTGGCCACCTAATGAGAAGGAAGGACTCACTGAAGAAGAGCCTAATGCTGGGAAAGATTGAGGGCAAAAGAAGAATGGGACAACAGAGAATGAGGTGGCTGGATGGAGTCACTGAAGCAGTAGGCATGAACTTAAATTAATTCCAGAGGATGGTAGAGGACAGAAAGGCCTGGAGGAACGTTGTCCAAACTTCGCAACTAACAACAACAAAAGAATATCACAATGTTGAATCCATGTTCAGTTTTATTACTAGTTTTTCCCATTTTGTTGCAGCAAGAAATTTATACCCTTTCTGATCTAAAGTTCTGCATGTGTATTTTTATATTAAGAAAGAAAAGGAAGGAAGGAAGGAAAGAAGGAAGGAAAGATAGATAGATAGATATATTTCAGCAGTTGAGAAACAATTGCAAAGTTGCTTGGAACAAGATGGGATCAATAGATACTGTATTATGACTTTTTCCCACTGCAAATCTATGGAGACTTATCCTAAACTTGTTCATAGTCCAACTTTTCTCTTAAATGCCACTAGTTTTGTCTTTAAATGACCATACTTAAAATGCCTAATCCTGCAGATTTACAACTAGTCATTTTTGCTATTTAGTGGTAATCGTCAAACTTAAACACATTCACCTGGAAGCAGAGTTTAGTCTAATTTCAAATTGCAATACCAGGACATATTGGCAATATAGAAAGCATAGGTGTGCTTTGGATTCAGGAATGTCTTTTTAATACACAGAAGGTAGTTAAAATATTAATGTGGATATTTATGGAACTGTATTGATTATTGATTGATTATGAAAATGCATTTGATCAAGGGAAGCATGGTAATAGGTATATTGGATAACTGAGCTGAATGCATTATGATGAATTTATATTGGAAGCAAATGGCTCCTGTTAAGGTAGAAGGAAAAACAAAATAATTTCAACTATTGTGTGGAATGCAACAAGGGTGTGCATTGCCATCTTTGGACTTCAATGTGCATTCAGAAGCTATTTCCAATTAATATTTAGAAGAATGGTAAGAAGATGTAAACTTTAATAGCCCACTATTAAGCATGCTTTATTCAGATTATTTTTCTATTTAGTAAATAGAGAACAAGGTTTACAGAGTTTACTCCATCAAGTAAATCTTACAGGCTATATTCAAAACGGAACAAAACAAAAATAATTGTCATCAGTAAGAAGAAGATCCCTCAACAAGCTACCATACAAGTAAAACAACTTGAGAGGGTGAGATATTATAAATACCTAGGCTGTCTTTTGAGTGACAGATGGGATCATAGCATGGAAATAAAGAGCAAGGCTGAACAGGTGAGAGTAGCTTGTTGAAAAATAAGTAACTAGCTTGCTGTCAGGATTTAAGATTGGAACTTTGTTGGCAGATTGTATGCTGTTATGTTTTGCCAGTACTTTTGTAGGAGCCAAATCACAAACAGGATAAGAGAAGCCTTTGAAATGTGGATTTAAAGATTATAGAATTACCGTGCAACCAAATGAAGCAGGCAATCCTCCAAAGCATAGGCAAAGATAGAGAAAGTGTGAATACCAGCAAGAAAAGAAAATGTTCTACTGAGATCAGATGATAGTAACGAGAAATATCAGCTCAATGAATTCTGCAAGGAAAGCTGAAAAGGAAATGTAGTACTGCACTGCATGACGACCCATATCCTGGTTGAAATATCTCTGCATGTGAGTTGGCCAAGTAAATATATCCTTGTTTCAGATGGTAAAACCGAAGCTACAAATAGCATTGATAGTCTCCAGCAGAGGTGGCACTAAAAGAAGAACTAGACATTCTTTTTAACTCAGTGACTGGCTTGGGAATCAAAGACTTACAGAGTTGGAAGTGACCATTTAAGTCAGGGGTGTCAAACTTGCAGCCTGCGGGCCAGATGTGTCACGCGCTGGCCATCTCCACCCAAGTTTTTAGCGAAGGGGAAAAAATTGTGATCTGTCACATGATGACAACATGTCATTGCAAGTTTGACACACCTGATTTAGGTCAATGTTTCTCAATTTCAACAAATTTAAGATATAGGTACTTCATCTCCCAGAATTCCCCAGTTTTAAAGTTGCTGAAATTGAGAAATACTGATCTAGGTCATCTAGCCCAACTGCCTGCTCACTACAGGAATCCAGACATATCCAAGGAGAGTCCATCATCTCTCTAGGCACATGTTTTCACCATCCAATTATTCTTACCCATAGAAAGCTTTTTCTAAGATTCAATCAGAATCTGCCTTTGTACTTTAAAGCAGGGGTCTCCAACTTTGGAAAAGTTAAGCCTGGTGGATTTCAACTCCCAGAATTCCCCAGCCAGCTTTGCTTAAACCCATTACAGTATTCTACATTATGGGAACAGGTTCTGAACATCTTCTATGCAGCATTCTTTGCCAAAATTCAACAAAACATACTATGCCTTGTTGTATGAATCTAGCCAATGACACAGGGTTTTTTTTCTGTATAAATTACTGCATTAAACTGTGTAAAAAAAATTCTACAATTTTAGCAATAGCCCAGTTTATATTAATAAATTCTTCAAGAGGAAAGAAACTTCAGTTTATTGTTATTCATTAGTCTGTTAAAACAAGAAATGAGACAACCTGCTAACCAAAAAAACTCAAAAAAACTTGCAGGAGTAGCAGAAAAAACAGATAAGAGGATATTCTCCTAGGACCTAGGTCAAGGAAATTATATTTAGAACTGGTATTATTATCTAGGGCTGAGTCCTACCGGTAGTAACCTTCTTAAAACTAAGACAGCCTATCCTGTTAAACAAAGGCAAGCTAAAGTCAGGGCACACAGCATGAAGCCATAAGAAAAATGAGATATTAAATCAACTGCAAATAAAATGCCAATTATCATTTGCAAGTAAAATGAATGAAGAAAGATGAAAAAAAGTAAAACATCTGTTTATGGCCATTTCAGTATTTCTAACAGAACACAATATGAATTTTGCAGTCTTGATTAAAGTGCACATGTTCGCCATTTTCCTGGCAAGACTTTTGCATCTTTACCAGCCAGATAACAGTTTCTCAAATTTCCCTGCCAAGAAAAGAAGCATTTGCCCACAAACTAGCTGATAAAAAATAGGACTATTTCTCACAATAAAACATTAAATTTTCAGACACCCACACAAGGCATGCAAATTGCCTCTAATGTCTATTTTTAAAAAAGTAATTTGCTATTTTTGGATCCTCTGCATGTTTGTAGCTTAGCTCCCAACTGCAAGGCCTAGGAACCACCAGAACAGATGGAAGGCCACATTGAAAGTTAGGGGTGTCCAGAGGGCATGGGCAAAAAAGTTAAAGTGGTGGCAGCAACTGGACAATGGAAACTCCACCATTTTTGCGTGTCATGGTTGCCAATGTGCCTTTTTTTTTTTTTACCATATCCTGCAGACATCTGTGATGGAGGTGACAATGAAGGCAAATGCCTTCTCTGTTTATTTTTTTTAATTCAACAATATTGCAGGGCAGGGGTGTCAAACTCGCAGCCCACAGGCTGGATGCATCACGCCCTGGCCTGTGTTTTAGCAAAGGGGGAAAAAATCACGATACGTCACATGACAATGTGACGCCGCGGGCTTGACACCCCTGGCCTAGGGGGTGCTTAAATTTTGTTCACATACATTGACGTAAGGAGGACAGAGATAGGGAAGTGTTGCAAGAAAATATTTTTTTCTCTTAACATATTCCATGAGTATTCTGAAATAAGAATACAGTGTAAAAGAAAACCTTAGCTATGTACAGTATACATAACACACTAAGCCATTGTCTGCATGCAACTAAACCCAATTAACCAAGTTTATTGCATTTATATCTCACCAGAATCAATTTGAGTTTTGGTGGGTTCAAAGAACGTAACAATCCATAAACAAGAAATTATGACTAGATGGCTCAGTGGCTAAGACAATGAGCTTGTTGATCAGAAAGGTTGGCAGTTCAGTGGTTCGAATCCCTAGTACAGGTCTCCTGCATGAGCAGGGGGTTGGACTAGATGATCTCCAAGGTCCCTTCCAACTCTGTTACTGTAAACCAGTTACTCTCGGAAAACTCAGCTGTGTTGGTCTCACTCATCTACTCAAGCAATCTAAGTTTACATTTTGGCTGTCTCACTGCTTTATAGGAAAAATGTAAAAGTTGGGCTATTTTAACCCAATTTTTGGGTTAAGAGGGTTTTTTAAAAAAAAAAAAGAAGACAAGAAAAACGCCCAATAGCTGACGCTCTGGGGTAGTTTACAATATTAATTTTCCACCTAAGATAATGATTAAAAACTGCAAGAATATTCTAAGGGTGTAAAGGTCATTAACTCTGTAAGTGTCATTACCAGATAAATACTAACTAGCCTGTTAGCATTTTCTGTATCTAGTGACTGTCTGGAGTTTTTGCAGCCTAGATCTGACAGCACCAGCTTTCTTCCTAGCAAATGTGGATAGAGGCTCACTGGCCATGTTGGAATATTTTCAAGCACAACTACATTTTCCTCAGTATATTGTACAATCCTTCCTTGATGGCTATGCATACATGTATTGCCAACGAACCTGAAATTTGGGCAACACACGGCTAACTTAACATGTATATATTATGCAACAGAGACAGCACGTAGGTGTAGTAACTGCCGCTTCTTCTTTAATGAGCAGTGGAAAGAAACCAACGATTTGGACTCTCCATCTTATTTTCCCATATAAATTCCCACGCATCATCTTCAGGCTGCGTAAGGTGAGCGAAGGCTTGGGGAGATCCGATTGGCTGGCTACCCTTAGGAGCTCATCCACCTAACGGCGCGGTTTAACACCCGCCTTTGCCCTCGGAGACCAACGATTTAGTAGCCGTTTAAAAGCGAAATCTCGTAGCAGCTCCGGAGCGGTCCGCGTGAATGAATCGGGACCCAACGGGGCCGAAGCAGCGGTTGGAAAACGAGCGCGTCACGCACACAGCTACTTTCCTCTTCCCAGCCCTATTTCAAGAGGGAAGCGAAATCTTCTCTCTTTAAAGCAAGAGGGGAAGACACAGGCTTAATTCTCCCTCGATGTCGGTGATAAAATTAAAAACCTCCGCCGAATCCCCCTAGACTAGGGTTCGGTCATTCAGTTCGGGCGTCACGCGGGGGGAAATAAATGTCTTCGGATTAACAGGACTACGACTGCCGCCCAGACAGAAACGGGCAAACTGGAGCAGGTCGTGACTGCTCGATTATTTTCCCCGTCCCCACCCCATATTTCCTTATCTCTAATTGGAAAAAAACATAAGGGACGGTCTCGCTGCTAACTGTTAAGTGCACTCTGTGCATGCTCGGAGGCACCGTGTTTTTTTTTTTTTGGTCACATGCTTTCAAGATAGTCCTTGCAGATTCATCCGGCCCAAAGCCCCCCACCCCTGCGCCTCCACTCTGGAAAGAAAGGGTCCTTCCTTACCCCCCCCACTCTTCGCCACCCCCACCCCGCTAAAGGGCTCCCTCTCACCCTCCCTCCGCCGCCTCCACCGGCCGCTCTTTCTCGCCTACTCGGCGTAGCCGGTGCTCCAGGGCAAGCGACGGCGACTCTCGCGGGGACTCTGGACGGCTCTGCCCGTGTGGTCGTCGGCCAGCAGGAGCTCCTCTGGCGTGAGCTGCAGAAAAGCCGGTCTCGAGAAGCTGCCGCGGGGCGCCTCACGACAGGAGCTGCTCGTGGTGGTAGCTGAGGAGGAGGAGGAGGAGGAGGTAGTGGTAGTGGCGGCGGCGGCGGCGGCGCTGCTAATGCTGGGCCCGGCAGCCTCGGACAGAACAGGCGGGGACGACGCGGCTGAGGCGCTGGCGGCGGGCGAGGCGTGCTGCGGGCTGCGGGGGCTTCCTCCGCCTCCCAGACCCCCGACTAGTTGCGCCATCGCCGAGCGAACTCTGCCCAACATGCTGCCACTCTTGCTGCTGCAGCCGCCGCCGGGCGCCGCGGGCTCGGGGCGGCCAGAGAGGGAGGCGCGCTGGCGGGCTCTGCTCCCGCCTTCTCCTCCCTCTCCTCCTCCTCCTCCTCCTCCTGGGCTCAGGCTGAACTCAGGCGCGTCAGGGAATCTCCGAGAGCCTCCTCCCAACCGCGTCCTCTCCTCTTCGACGCACCGCGAGCCTTAGGCGGCTTCGGAACCTCCTCCCGAGCTCCCTGGAGGTTTCTCTTCCCACCGAAGGGCTGTAGGGACCGCAGAGGCGCTCCTTTCCTTGGGGAGTCGCTGTGTTATGCCTCGGGGGTGGGAGTGCCCGCCTGCCGTTGCCGAGGAGTGCCTCGAAAGCTTGCCGTAGGCCTTGTGGTCAGGTTGTCTTCCAATCTTCTTCCCCGTGTCTTTACGGACAAGCCCACTATCGTTCTTGACAAGCGCGGCAATGATTTACTTGGTTTACTTCCCAGTTGACAACTTTTGATTTCTTGGTGGTCTCCCATCCTAGGAGCAGCCAGTCTGATCTCGCTTAATTATTTGATGCCAGCTAAATTCAGCTATATACTGGAAGGCTTTGTGATCATCCCTCCATACCAAATATACTGGGATTTAAGGTACTTAGGGCTCTAAGCCAGTGTTCTCAACCTCAGCCACTTTAAGCTAGCTGAGGATTTCTGAGAGTTAAAATCCACACAGCTTAAAGTGTCTTGAGGGTGAAAAACATGGATCCTCAGAAGCACCTGCACTTTAGGATTTTCACCATATTGTACCTACAGCTCTGGCTTTGTAACACACCTTGTTCACCTTAGAAAGTTATGCAGTTTTAGAAATAAACTGTCATTCTTAATCTCCCATTGTTTTCCAAATATGTTTCTGTTATCTTAATGCTTTTACTGTTCCATCTTCAGGTAAGAAAAAAAAACAGTTAAAAAGCTTAAAGGGGTGGTGGGGGAGAGCTTAATCATGTACTTGGGGCTATTCCCCACCACTACTTACTACCATCACCTGACCTCAGGCTTTTACTTTGTAAATCTGGTCTTCATATACAAATCTTAAGTTACCAAGCAGGTTAGGGACCAATTAAGAGCAATATTTAATCAAGGCTTACTGATATGTTCAACCCCCAAACAAGTGGCATTCGGATTTCAGAAAATTGGGACATGCCCCAGATTTATTGTGTGCTCTTTTCAGAGACCTATTTGTATCCTGTGGTGAAAGAAACAGTAGGTAAACAATTTGCCTAAAGAGCTGCACGATCCTGGGAAGATGTATGTACGTTAAGAATTCAGGCCATGTGGACCCAGCTTTTCAGTTTAGCGTGTTTTATGGACGTTGTCATGTACTGTGTTTAGATATCAAGCCAGATCCTCAAACAAATGTTCCCATTTCCCAAATGTTTTAGTATTTCATAGCCAGAATTCCATGTACATCTCAACTCCCCTGATAGATCTTCAATTCATAGGCACTTTTGCCCATAAAAACGATGCCTGATGCTAGTATTTATTTCGCAGCCTGCCATATCAATGATTTTTATATTCAAACAAAATCAATGTGGACAGGAAGCTTGGCAGCCGACCAAGTGCTCTTAACAACCATATTGCCTGCTCCAGACCTAAATACATTACTCCACTATAGTTTTATATTTGGTTTCTACAGGTAATTCTCGACTTACAATCACAATTGATCCCCAAATTTTTGTTGCTAAGCAAGACAATTGTTAAGCAAATTTGGCCCCATTTTATAATCTTTCTTGCCATAGTTGTTAAGTGGAACACTGCAGTTGTTAAGTTCATAACATGGTTGTAAAGTGAATCTGGCTTCCCCATTGACTTTGCTTGTAAGAAAGTCACAAAAGATGATCACATGAGCCCAGGATATGTAATTGTCATAAATATGGGCCAGTTGTCAAGATCTGAATTTTAATCATATGAGCATGTGGATGCTGCTGAAAAACAGGCATAAGTCATTTTTCTCAGTGCCATTGTGACTTCGGTCACTGAACAAATGGTTGTAGGTCAAGTATATCCTGATTAGGTGGCTCAGTGGCTAAGACACTGAGCTTGTCGATCAGAAAGGTCGGCAGTTTGGCAGTTCGAATCCCTAGTATAGGTCTCCTGCATGACCAGGGGGTTGGACTAGATGACCTCCAAGGTCCCTTCCAACTCTGTTACTGTTACTGATTACCTGTACTGGGGATTCATGTACGAGGGATCTGAATTTTAGCTTTTATGTGAATGGTTCTTTGCTGGGAGATGGGCTTTTTCTTTGTTAGCTGGGTTGTCTCTCTGAGACCAAGGATAATCACCAACGTTTCTTGCATGCATCAGGAAGGAGTCCTTGGGAAACTTAAGGATTAGGCTCAGAGGTATGTTTAAGTGATCTCAACCAATTTTTATAGAGGCTTCTTCAACAGGAAATCTTGTTCAACACTATTTACCCAAACAAGTGCTCAACAGTCCAAAGTGGCAAGGGAGTCCTGCCTGTTAGCTTGTAACCTTAACAGAACCATTCCTAAAAGTATCAGTCCCCTTTTTGGCCCTACAACGTTTCCCACATTTTATCCCTAGCCCAAGAGTGAGAGACGTTTAAACTTCTGTACTGATAAAGATGCATTATTTCTCCTCTTATCCCAATATGACCCAACAGTAGCTTCACAGTGTGTATAATCTGCTGTGTTTTGCCACCTTTATGCAAGAGACAAAATCAGAGGATAAGTACTTTGTGTGATCCAAGGTGTGTAATGGGGGTGCTGGGAGGTGTAAGTATTTTCCTTATTCTCTGGTCACAAGCCAGGCTTAACTGCAGCCTTATTTCTGCCAATAAACGATTACTTTCCTAAGTGTCTTTGTGCCTGTTACCTCTCTTTTTTCAATCTCAGCTTCTCTAGTCTTCCAGCGTAATAGAAAAAGGGAGATAAGAATTCCCCGATTTCACCTGAGGAAACAGTAGGAATATATTTGGGTTAATCTACTTTAAGTGTCTCTCTATCTTGAGATGCAGAAACCCTACTTTTCCTTCTTGTTATTGTCTGGAAAACAGCAAGGGATGTTGAAATAGGCTTAGTTTCTATTTCTTAGTTCCAATCATTTCCTTTCTCTTCCAGGTCAAGTATCTATTCAGTTTCACTTCAGGGCCTAGCTAATTGCATAATCATGGCAGCATCTGTCTCTTCTCCCTCTGGGGCCATTTTCTGTCTTGGTATCTTTCCAGATGCTTCTTTATTTCAAATGGCAGGGGGAAAAAACCTTGATTCAAATGTTGAATTGTCAAATTCAAATGTTGGTTAAATTTAAATGTATGTAATTTCCATATTTTATATAATTTATGCAGTGTCATAATTGAAGTTTTTACTTCATCGGTTTGCATCATTTGCATAATGTAAATTGCTGTTTATATCAACTGTACTTACTGCATTATGGAAAGGTCACAAATTCATGCAAATAACATCATTTATCCAGACAGACTTTGGAAACAATGAATTTGTCATTTTGCAGTTGAGGAGTGAGTATAAAGTTGTTCCGTTGCCTTTGAAATCTATTAAATCCTCAACATAACAAGCAGTCATTAAGTGGATGCTTGCTAAATTGAGATTTTTCTGTTTTTTAACTTAGATGATGGGGTGGGTGAGAAGGGCAGGAAGCCACTTAGGGAAGTACAGAGAAGTTCTGAAGTTGGCTCCCTCCCATTTTTGCCATGAATGTTTTTCCTGCTGGCTGGTGTCATGCCGAAAGAAGTTGCAGCAAAGACAGTGCAGACAACCCATCGTCTTGCACAGAATTACCTTCATAGCCACAAATTAGGAGGACTAAGTTCACAACAGAATCAGAGAGAGAGAGGGGGAAAAGATTCTTAATGGGGAGAAGAATTATGCGGGTCTGGTTTTGTGCTAACTCAAGGATGGCCGAATAATATTTCATCTTAACAAGTGGAAAAGACCAGAGGCTGGATAATCATTAGTCAGAAACACTTTAGTGGATTCTGCACTGCACAGAAGGTTGGACTAGATGATCTCTAAGGTATCTTCCCATTCAGTTGACTCATTGACACAGAACACTCAACTGAATAAAGAAGAGTCCAAGTAAGCTGCAATTCCTGTGGGTTGTGGGTTTTTTTTTAGAGCAGACGTATCAAGGAGATAGAGGAGAAAGAATTAAGTATAACATGCATAGAAAGGACCTACAAAGAAAGTTGCTGGGTGAAATACTGACGGTCAAGATTCTAGCTATTTCATTTTGTTGCTGCCTCTTCCACGTGTTACCAGTTTCTGGTGCCAAGGAGTCCTTCCCTGCCTTTTTTTGCCCCTTGTAGTTTTGCAACCATGAACTTCTTCCAGATCTGCTGACATCTTTCTATCCTCTCTGTGTGTGGTACATTTTAGCTGGAGTAAGCAAGAGCAGTACTTAGAGCCTGAACATCAGATGGAGGGAATGATTCATAGCCACAGAGATGGGATCTGAAAGAGTAAGGCCATAAGGGTTTCACAGATGAAGGCAGCTGGGCTCGAGAAACGAGCCAAACGAGTTTTTGCTCAGGGGCACAAGGAGGTTCCCAGTTCAAAAGGAGCGTGGATGCCAAGCAAAGGCCACTGCCTGCCTGAGGGACACCCCACGCAGTGGGAACTTCTTGCTGCATGAAAGAGCAGAGAAGCCTAAGAAGGGGTGGGAATGAAGCAGTATGCAAATCAAACTTTTTTTTTTAATTGTAGGGTTTTATTCATACAAATAATTCCATGTCAAGGGCAACTGCAGAGTATAGTTAAAATACTTAAAGTGCTGGCCACAACAGTGCAAAGGCTTGACTACATCATTATAGAACCTTCTTTTGACTTCTTCAACCATGCGCTGCAGACGGCCCTGCTCCATGAAAACAGGAGGAGGATGGGCTTATAATGGAGATTATTAATTTGATGGCCAATAAATAAACTCAATCTTCTTGGGTTGTTTAGGACTTACCTTCTTGTGGCTTCCTGACGCTTCGTCCACAGCAACTCACAGAATTGATAATCAGGCTAATAGGCTTACTGACTGCTGGAAAATTATGGAAATTGTTCATATTTGAAATGCACTACATTAAAAGAGGCAATTGTAATTTTTTGTTAAATTATTTTTGCTTATTTTTTCTTTATCAACACCCCCATACACTTTATATGTGCATATTTATTTATTTATTTATTTATTTATTTATTTATTTAAAATTTATATACCGCCCTTCTCCCTGAGGATTCAGGGCGGTGTACAGCCAGAATTAAAAAACATGAAATACAAATATTAAAAAACAATTAATATATATATAAATTTGGCCCAAAATTAAAAATACAAACCAATTAAAACATTTAAAATTTCTTCTTAAGCCAGCCCGGCTTGCTGGAAAAAGTGGGTTTTAA